TAAAAATCAATTAAAGCTTTTTAGTAGCAGTTTCTATGCCCAGAGCACTCCTAATGGCAGCAAGTATTTTGTAAACATCTTGTGTTCTGTGTTATTCATCTCTTAAAGTGCATTTTACTTTAATTGTCCTGAATCCACAGTGCACAGAACTCTCCCTAGAACATTTGTGGGAATGAAATCGTAATTGAAAAGCTAATGATTTTGAGAAGACGAAAGACAAAGGTCAGGGTGACTTTAATTATGATGCAAATTCTCTATTGAATGGAATGGACATAAAAGTGTATTGATTTACTTTTGTAATTATTTAGACATGGAAAAGATAACTTAATAAATTTTATAGTTAAAACCAGCTGGTTTTAAAAGATTACTATGGGTTGCTTTTTTGTTTTGTTTGTTATTTTTTGCTAATTCTTGAAACTTTAAAGTTTGCAAAGTGTGTTTTATCAAAACGATACTGTCCATATCCCAGATGATCTTGTTTTGAGAAGAAAATGGAAAGATTTTATAAACTGAGAAGACTCAGGTTTGTTCTTGATCAGGCCAGGCCAGGGTGTGGCCACACAGGGTGCCCTCCCAGATAAAGCAAGTCCAGGGGTTTAATGACTTCCCACTTGTGAAACCAGGAGCAAGTCCAGGGGTGATTCTGCTGAAAACCCAGGCCTCCGTCACGTATCCAGTAAAGATGATACGTGACGGCAGAAGCTGCCCGTCCCGATTCCAGTTCAGTCCCTTGTCCCTGGGGTCCTGGTGGACAGCAGCATTGGACTCCTACCGCCACGTCCTCATTCTCACTCAAGGAGCCTTATGCTTCTGGCCTGCCCTCACCTGGGGGCACCTTTGCGTATCCTGTCGGTCTTCACACCACACCTCCCCAGTGGCAGCCCCAGCCTGTCCTCGGTCAGCCCCTCCTGGCTTCTCCAAGGGGAGGAGCTCAGCATCTCGTGGCATTGAAGACGGCCCCATGCGTGCCTGAAGCTCAGCCTGTCCTTACCCGCAGATTAAGTGTCCAGCTTAATTGAACGCCTCTGAAACCAAGGCATCCAATTTGACTTGTCTGAAGTCCGCAGCTTTCTTCAGAAGTTTCCCCTTGTGGCTAAGGGACACCCATGTTCCAGTGGCCCCTGCCCACTTATGTCCGTCTCGGGCACCCTCTCCTTCGGAGCATCTTCATTTTTACACCCTTCTGCCAGGTCCAGCCACTGCCTCTCTGCTGAGTCTCAGGTCAGAGTGAAGCATTGGGCTGCTAACTAAAGGGTCAGTGGTTTCAACCCACCAGCCACTCCGCAGGAGAAAGATGTGGCAGTGGGCTTTCTGTGAGGGTCTACAGGCAGGCCTCTGCCCTCCAGGATCTCTGTGAATCGGAGTGAAGTCAGCAGCAGTGGGTTTTGGTGTCTCAGGTGTCTGGGGCGGGGCATGCAGAGCCAGTGCCCAGTGAGAACAGCTGGGTGGACTTGTGTTGGGAGGCTGGACCAGCTTCCACCTTGGCCACCACCGGAGGCTTCCCTGGGGGACAGGCCTGTGAGACAGCTGGCGTTTGTCTGCTAAGGGTTGTCTGGGCCCATCCCAGCCCCTCTTCACTGTGGTGACGTGGGAGGTTAGCAGGCTTATGAATCTGGCAGGATTGATTGTGACCCAGTAGGGATGCCCTGTGGCCGCTGGGCAGCGTGTCCCCTGCTGTCAGGGTGACTGGTGCTCGTCACTGGCCACTAATTGGGGCCGCTGCCGCCGGAATCTGTGACAGGGTTCAGTACCCTGTGTACAGCCTGCCAGCATCCACGGACACGCTTTGTAAGATGTCCTGCAATCCAGGGACAGAATGTCATTAACTTTGTAAGTGGATGAATACAATGGACAACCAATCTGATTAACTTCCTCCATTGGCTTCTGGAAGGGGACAAATGACATTATGTGTACGTCTCGCATGCAGCAGCCTTGGTGGTGGGTCAGACAGAGGCCCTCTATGTTAGGGTCCAGGTTTGCCCAGAAAGGACAAGGGGATGGTTTTCATTTTGAGAAGTACAGGGAGTCCAGGCAGGACCCCTTCCAGGGCCATGCGGAATGCAGCCTAGTCCACCCAGTCCACTCTGGATGGTTCTGGATGAAGCACTGACACCGTCTCGTCCAATTGGATTTGCCATCCGTGAGTTCATTACCCAGGGAGAGATCAATGAGGCTCCACATCGATTTAAACAAAAGCTCCGTCTCATTTATTATTGTTCATAATCTAATGAATGTTAGCATAATTGTACTTTGATTTAGCTTTGATGTATTACTCAATTTATTAAATGATTTTGGAATCAAGAGTTTAGGGCTTATCTTTGTAACAGGATTGCTCCCCTGATTGGTCAAAAATGTGGTCGTTTTTGTAAAATTATATTTAACGTAAAATATAACTACCATGAAAGCAATGGAAACTACATAAAAGCAGTGCCTTAGATCGCACTCTGAAACCCCGGACAAATGGTGTGGCCTTGGGTCCTAAACCGGGACTCAGGGTCCTGAACTGGGGTCTTGTCCTGGAAACTGGGATCCTGGACCATGACCCGAGGTCGTTAACCTAGACTCAGGTTTATACACTGAGGCCCTGATCTAGGACTCAGAGTTCGGCACCACTTAACCGTCATTCCTTGCAGTGAGTCTACCTCCATTTACCCAGCAGACATTGGATTCCAGCAGACGTTGGAGCCAACAGACATTGGATCCCTCAGACATTGGATCCCAGCAACCTTGTCCCGCAGATTATCAGGATCCAGCAGACATTGGATCCAGCAGATACTGGATTCCAGCACCCTTCAATCCCTTAGACATTGGATCCTATAGACATTAGATTCCATAGACATTAGATTCCAGCAGATACTGTATCCTGCAGACAGTGGATTTCAGAGACATTGGATGCCAGAGACCTCGGGTCCAGCAGACATTGGATCCAGCAGTTACTGGATTCCAGCAGACATTGAATTCAGCGGAAATTGGACCCAACAGCTATTGCATTCTTCAGATATTGGATTTCAGCAACTGTGGATCCTGAAGATGACTGGATTCCAGCACCCTTGGATCCATAGACGTTGGGTTCCAGTGACCTCGGATCCGGCAGACATTGGATTCCAGTGGCCTTGAGTCTAGCAGAGCATTGGCTTCCCGCTGGGGGTGCAGAGCTTGTGTTTCAAGGTAGAGGCCGATGGCAGACAGAAGGCAGCATGCAGTGGTACTGCAGGGCCTTGAAGGACACACAGGGACCGGTTGTGTTGAGAATTCCAGAGGACTGTGTTCACAGAGGCGTTGAGAGAGAGTGGCACAGCCCACGAGTGCCCGCATGAGGAAGAGCTGGGCCAGGGGGATGGCATCTGGGTGGCCATGACTGCAGTGTGGGCAGAGGAGGCCTGGTCAGGTGCTGGTTTGAAAGGTTGGCCATCAGCTGGGTGTAGAAGAGACTGAGGCGTCATCAAGGCCTGGCATGGTGGCCATGGGGTCCACTGATGGGAGGTGTTGGGTGGTGGAGAAGTCTCTGTGGAGCGTGAGGCCAGGGTGGCCTTGGGACGTGCAGATGAGCGTATCGGGGTGTCGGCACCAGGCAAGAGTGAGCTGTTGGTGAGTGAGGACCGTGTTTTCTGTAACTTTTTGTTCTGGCCCTGTGGGTCAGCAGCGCCAATGGTGTGGGTGTGGGGCTGCTGCCATTATCACCTCCTGAGCTGGGATGCGTGTTAATAGGCACCCTGTAGTACAGCCCCGAACTGCCCAGCTGCCCAGCGATCGCAGGGCCATGCAGCCACGCCCACAGGTGAGGATTTCCAACACAGCTGTGCCTGTTCGCTTTGCAGAGTTTCCATCTTTCAGTGGGTTCCAGTCGGCTGTGGGGGCCGGGGCTGAGGAACATATCTGTCCCAGCAGGACTGGCCATGGCTGCGGCTGCCGTGGCTCTTTGAGCTCCCATGAGTCGTCCTGACGGCGTTCCACTGATGAGCGTTCACTCTGGGCTGCCAGCTTTATAAATATGTAGAGAGTGTTTTCATTGTTTTTATCAAAGTGGGCAAGGAGTCGATATTCTGTGATGTGACAAGCATACATTTGACACGTTCCATGATCGGGGTGGGGGTGGGAGGTGTGGAGAGGATGGGGGCAGGTGGGACCCTGAAGAAATTGGGTGAAACTTTGACTTTCAGTCTCCATTTGGCCTAACTGTGCATTTCTTGACTAATTAGCCTGCATCTGTGTCGGCAGTTTGTTTTCAGTGATGTTTCAGTTGTAAACTTGTGAATACGATGTTAGCTTGACCACGTTCAGTGAGGTCATGTCTTGATGTTTGCTGCGGCGTTTATTATGTATTTCAGAAATGTTTCTTACTGAGGAAATGGTAAGGACTGCTTTTAAGGGGCTGATTTCCATGCGACAACCAGGAAAGCTCACATCCAGGTCTAGTCCCACATCTGCTTAGATCCCGGGGATGGTGTCACTGCTTCAGCTACACGTGTCCCTGACACCCCAGGTGTGGGCTCTGCAGATGGTGCAGCTATAGGAATGGGGTCAGCAGACACCAATGAAGGGGACCTCTTCTGGCTGTGGCGCCACCACGTCGAGTTGAGGGACTCACTGGCACCTCTGTGGAGTCCCCAGGTGCTGCGCTCACTTGTAGGTCCCGGACGCAGGCAACTGTGTGGCAGCCCCCTCAGCCATTAGTGTGACCTGGGCCCTGCCAGGTGTGTGGCCAGAGTGGTCCACCTGCGGGTACTGGGCAGGGCCACAGGGCCTCCCACCTGTGATCTCCCCTTCCCAGCCATAAATCCTGAAGTAGTCAGTTTTAGACCAGGACTGCTGAAGGAAGTGCTGACGGCATTGTATTTCACAGGGCTGAGCTTGGTGCCCTCTGAATATGGCTGGTTATTGGCACTAAACTTCATGTCTCAGCGACTGTGATGAATTTGCCATCGCTTCCACTTGGTTTTAAAGGGTCCGTCCCCGAGAGTCTGTCCGCGTCTCACTGGACTCCTCCTCTTGTTCCACAGGCATTGGGGAGCTTCTATTTTCTCCACGAATCTTTAAAGAATGTCCAGCAGTTTGACTTTAAAGGTAAGAGTCCGTGCTGCCCTCTGCTGTCTCCTGGTCTCCTGATTCCGTGGACACCCACCTCATGCCCCACACTCTTGGCAGAGCTGGTGTGGTCTCAACACTGTCCATGTTTCCACCTCACAGACCCCACCCTGCCAGCCCCTTCTCCCATGTGAGATTTGTAGGTGACTCAAGTGTTCTTTGTGACCTGTGGATGTGGAAGAAACAAGTAGAATGGCAGGATTACGTAATTCAGAAAGAAAAAATGGGCATGAGAGTACATGGCAGTGAGGAAAGACTTGACCCGATGCTGTCCTCAGTGACCAGAGCCCACCACACAGGCCCCGCCCACAACAAGCCCCTCCCACCACAGGCCCCGCCCACCACAAGGCCCCGCCCACCACAGGCCCCGCCCACCCCTGCCTCGGCCCTTTGGGTGCGTTGTCTAGTCGGGTGGTAGATGCCTAACGGCTTCCTGTGCACTTGCTCCCCTTTCTGTTATCTCCTCATGCTGCACATAAAGTCTCCACAACTCCATTTAGGCTATTGAGCCAGACCACATTAATTTGAAATGTCACTAAAGTTGTAATAACTGTGAAGAGCAACTAATTATGTCAGTTTGTTCAGATTCATTATTTCTGCTCACTCGGGAGACAGATTACCTCTTAAGAAATTGAAAACCAGGGTCTTCTCTAAATTGCTTGAATAGCAGTTTCATCAATATCGAGAGTAGGACTCTAGCCAGCAAAATTATTTTTCACCTGCCCAGCTGTCCAAAGATCTCCTGACACCCAGGTTGGCTCTCTCCATGTAGACTTGGCAGGGGACGGAAGACTAGACCTGCTTTCCACACATCTGGCCCCAGCATGCACTGATTCTAGTGAGGGCTGGCTTGCTTTTAAAGGGGCTGTTTGCACACTTCTAGTGTGACTAAATCCTAGCTGATCAAAAGGTAGTTAGCTAACCCACTGAGCATTTTAAACTGCAGGTTACATGTGTGGAGCGTTTGACTCAAGCATAAACCTCCCCTGGGGACCTCCATGCTGTGAATGTTGACAGTAAGGAGCAAGCGTTCGATGAGCACTTCTGCCCCCTGGATACGTGGGTGCAGAGACTTGGCGTGGCGTGTGGCTGGTTCCAGGGTGCAGGTGTGTTTGTTCATGCACACCCTCTGCTCTGAGCTGAATGGGGTCACAGCCAAAGCAACTCCAAGATTTGTGGATTTGAATAAGGTCTCTAGTTAGAGATTTAAGAAATACCAGTGGCATCGAGGAAAAGGATTGAAGGGGATTTCTGGTTTCTGGTCTGACATGTCATCACACTCACGCATACAACAAGAAAAAGCAGAGCAAATGGCAATGCAGCAGCTCTTCTTAAAACCTTCAGAGAATTGAGGACACAGGACAGACTGCCACCCTGAACACTGGAGACACCGACAGTTACACACAGGTGCAGAACCTCTGGCAGGCCTGGCATCGACAGGGAACACCTAAAGATTGGCTAATTGCTAAGACGGAGTGTGGAGCAGCTCGAGAGAGAACTGGGAACCAGCCTTAGAGCAGTACACACTTGTACCTTATTCTAGGAGCTCAGCCAAGTGTGTACCGTGAAGGTCAACTGGAGAAAAATCCTTTAATGTAGAGGATGGAGCAAGTAACCACATGCACTAGTTCACATCCTGTCCTGAGGGAAATGATTGCCCGGATCCTAACTGGTGTCAGGGTCAGACACAAGCTCCCAACTCCAGCACCTTCTAGCAGACCTCCCTCACCTGTGGGTGGGCGGAAATGGCTGAGAAGGACTTTTGCTGGTCACAGTCCAGGGACAGGGCTCACGGAATGACCGATCCCTAACCACAGGCTCCCAGAACGCTTCAGTGGCCCACATGTCACCACGCACAGCAGGAGCTTAGCTGTAGCGGATTGTGCCCGAGGTGGCTGCGATCTGACCATCTGAGGAGGACCTTCTTCTCGTTGTCATTGTGAGGAGCTGTCGAGTCAGTTCCAAGGAGTGGCAGTGATTTTGAACCAACGACTTTGTGGTTCAAGCCACCCTTGCGATTATTCCACAGTGCCACACCAGGACTCCGAGGAGGAGTTCCTCAGGAAGCCCAATACAGCCTGAGAGAGACAGCAGAACACTGGAGGAACCATAGCCTCTGGTACCGACAGGTATGAGAGGCAGTAAATACAACCCAACTGCTAGCCAGACTGCCTGAAGCCTCACACTTCTCACCTCATGCTTCCTGTGTAGCTCTCAGCAAGCATTGTAAGGCATTCTGGAAGACCACATAGAAAACTGAACATACAAAACAAGCATCAGAATGACACTCGGATGTGACACCAACTTCAGAATGATCAGACCAAGAATTTAGGATGATAATGATGATTAATATGCAGTCCTGGTGTGGCGTGGTAGGGTAAACACCGGATTGCTGTCCACAGGGTCATCAGTTCAAACCCACTAGCTCCTTAGAAACCCTGTCCAGGATAGCTGATTCAGAACCCACTTGACAGCACTTAACAACTCTAATGGAGAAAGTTAACAACATGCAAGAACAGATTGTTAGTGTTAAGTAGAGAGATGGAAATTCTAAGACTGAATGAAAAAGTAATGTAAGAAACGAAAGTGAAGAATACCTCTGATGAGCTCATCATTAGATTAGGCACAGCTGAGGGAAGAATATATGCATTTGATAGTATATAAATGAAACTCCTAAACATTGAAACAGACATTTGAAGAAAAAAAAAAAAAAAAAGGACAAGAAATGCTTAGAGCAGAATACGCAGTAACTCTGAGACAAGTGTGAAGTGTGGAACAGATGAGTACGTGGACACCAGGAGTGGAGAGAAAGGAACAAGGAAACACTTGAAGTAACATGGCTGAGAATTTTCCAAAATTAATGACAGACACAAAAATCACCGATCCAAGAAGTTCAGAGAACACCAAGCAGAAAAAAATACAAAAATAAAAACTGCACTTTGGCATGTCACATTTAAACTGCAAAAAGTCAAAGGTGTAAAGGGACAGTCTTGAAAGAAGTCAGAGAGATACACCACTTACAGATGGAAGAACAAGGGTAAGGGTCATATCAGGCTTCTCCCCCAAAATGATTCAAACAAGAAGGAAAGGAAGGAAAATACTTGTAGTGGTTAAAGTGGTTTTTCCCCCCTCCTATATTTCCCCCAATAACCTATAATTCTGTATTAGTGAAATTCCTCTTCAAAATTAAAGGTGAAATTAAGATTTTCTCAGATTTCTTCTGTTGGAAGAAGTGCAGCCTGAGTGCTCCTTGGAAGCAAGGTTGGCCAGTCTTCGTCTCTCATACTTCAGACATGTTGTCAGGAGGGACCAGTCACTGGAGAAGGATATCATGTTTAGTAAGGTGGAGGGTCAGAGAAAAAGAGGAAGACCCCAAACGAGATGGATTGGCCAAGTGGCAGCATCGATGGACTCAAGCGTGGTCATGATAGTGAGGTTGGCCCAGGATCGGGCAGTGTT